CCCCAGCGGTAACAGCAGGGGGCGCTGCCCCTCCGGACCCCCCTCCCCCTCCAAGCTTACCTTTCTTGAAGCACCGGCTGGCGCCATGCGCCCCCCCGCAGCCGGAACATTCGTGTCTGAACCTGCAGGAATTCCCCCACTTGCAGTGTCCCTCGTTGTACATCCAGCAGAAGCCTTTCTTTTGCCCAACCGACACAGCACCCCCTGCGGCCGTGCCGGCTGTCCCAAGAAAGCGCGCCGCCTTTTGAGCCATCATAAGGCGCATCCATAACGGCAGATCCATTTGATCCCACCGCATGCTCGTGTTCACCGCTAGCCGTTGTCGAAATTGCTCGTCATACCTCCACCACGCCAATCCCCCGTATGTTCGATATGCATCGCCTATCCCATCCAAGTAGCAAAAATGTTCAGAGCAACGCCCCGGGTTCTTTTCCCCTATCACGCTAGCCAGAATACAGAAAGCCCGTAGCCAATTCCCAAAAGTTTTCGGTATCTTGCGATACCTCCGCCTTTTTTCCTCCTCCTCTTTCTTGGCGTCCTTTTTATCCTCCTCTTTCAAGTCCAAGAATTCCTCGAGGGGAAGAAGGGAAAAGATTTCCACGAACTCACCTTTCCAAATCTTATCCTTTACTTCTGTTTTTAAGTGGCACCCCAGGGGGCCCGCAAAGGACACGTGCACGTTTTGCCGCGCCGCATCCGGGACATCGCTACCCCCTTCCGTGGGTTCCCCCCCACCATCGGTCAACCCCGCCGACCCCGTCACGTCGCCGGCCTCGCCTCCATGTGTCCCCGCCGGTACCGCCCCAGCGTGCTCCACCGCCGCGTCCCGACTACCTTCCTGTGACCATACCCGCCCGAATTCCGAGGGGGACCCGCCCTTGTCCGACCAAGCGTCTAAAAATACTTTCAAATCATTCAACAACTGTCCAGAGTGTCGTGCATGTGTTGACTCACCGCTCAAGCCCCTGGCCGCAGCTGACCGCAGGGGCGTCGTCCTTCCGCCCACCATTCCGGGAGCCGGAGTGTCGTGTTGTCGCCGACTCCCATCCGCCTGGTCCCGCCTCGAGACCGTAGGGGTATTGCTCCGTGACCTGCAGGGAGAAGAAAACCTGGGTAGTCTGTTCAGCGTAGGGTCTACCCGCCCTTCCTCCCCACGTTCCAGCTGCCTTGCAAAACGACTCCCCCTGTAATCCGCTCCCCTTGAGTGAACCTGTACTCTCCTGTCTGGTGAATCAGACGTGCTACGTCGACTCCTCTGCCTTCTATCCCTAGACAGGGACCTCCCACAGCCTTCCCTGCAACAGGACCTAGCTGCGCTGCATCTGCTCCGCACTGGTGACCTCTCCCCGCTTCCTCGACTCCCTGCTCTGCTCCTCGTGCTGCTGCGCCTGGCGCTCATGCTGCGCCGTTCCGTTCTCCTCTCACTCCTTGCGTCCTCTCCGTCCATATGCTGACCCTGGGAGCAGCCAGAAGGACCCTCCCGCCTGCTGCCACCACCCCTGTCACCTCCCTCCAGGGTGGGTCTACGTCTGTCTCCCACTGCTGTCGCGCCTGGCTTCCCTCTAGCCGTCCTTCCCGTTAAAGAATCCTGTCCCTGGCTGATCGCCGTGCGCCCTGATCCAGCCGTCTCCTGCGCACTAAAACCACCACCGACATCCTCCCTCCTGACCCCTGCCTGGGCCGTCCCTGCGCTGACCTCGCCGCCCCAGCCTCCCCCAGACCCATGGGGGGCTGCTCTTGTCTCCACACTCCCCATAACCACATTCTCCTGCCCCACAGCGGTGCCACTGGTGGCTGACTCACCGGGACGTTCCAGCTCTGTGATCCCGCCCACGTGACCGTCCTCCGTCCTGGCCGCCGACCCGGCCGCCGAATTGGCAGCCACCGCTCCATCTCCCCTGCCTGCCGCCGACCCACGCGGCGTGCGGCGTCCAGCCGCCGGGTGCTTTACGGCCGTCCTCGCCAGACCGCAGCCGCGCCTGCCAGCCCGAGCCGTGCTCCTTCCCGGCTCCACGACCGGGACCTCTCCTGCCCCCGCGGACGTTCCTCCTCCCTCTGAAGGGCTTCTACGGCGTCTCGCCGCGGGCCCAGCACCCGGGCTCAGCCGCTGCGGCGGCCTCGTCCTCCTGGCCGGTTGTCGCGCCGGTACCGATGCGGAAGGCCCGGCGGCCCCCAGCTGCTGATGTAGCCATTCGAGGCCACGGTCCCTCACGGCCGCCCGCACTCCCTCCAGAAGCTCCTCCAACACCGCCATCGACCTGCAGGGAAACAAAGAAAAAAGGGGGGAACCTCTCTGGCCTGCAACAATCTACAGGTAAGAGAGGCTCCAGTTAAAATGGCCCCTATTCTAATATGGCCGCTCTATATATCCCTACTCTCCACCCCCCAAAACATCACTCCCAAAACCCTTCCCACAAACTTAAGCCCATGCCCACTCCCTGGCTCTGTCAAGGCCCACTCCCCATACTGCGTTGCTCCATGGGCTACCCACTTCCCTCAACAACACAATTACGTTAAAGTAACAGTATAGTCACCTAAATTACTTTAGCTAAATAAAGCAGTTTTAGTGTATAGATGATTCCTCTGCAGTCTCACTGCTCAATTCACTGTCATTTAGGAGTTAATGCAGCCCTAGCCACACCTCCCCTGGCTATGATTGACAGAGCTTGCATGAAAAAAACAAACTGGTTTCACTTTCAAACAGATGTAATTTACCTTAAATAATTGTATCTCAATCTCTAAATTGAACTTTAATCACATACAGGAGGCTCTTGCAGGGTCTAGCAAGCTATTAACATAGCAGGGGATAAGAAAAAATCTTAATTAAACAGAACTTGCAATAAAGAAAGCCTAAATAGGGCTCTCTTTACAGGAAGTGTTTATGGAAAGCTGTGCAAGTTACATGCAGGGAGGTGTGACTAGGGTTCATAAACAAAGGGATTTAACTCCTAAATAGCAGAGGATTTAGTAGTGAGGCTGCAGGGGCATGTTCTATACACCAAAACTGCTTCATTAAGCTAAAGTTGTTCAGGTGACTATAGCGTCCCTTTAACATTAATCTTACTTGAAAACGAGAGAAATCTCAATGTATCTTTCCTGGTAAAATATTTTATAAATAAATAAATAAACACCGTTTTCTCCTGGTTGCCGTACCTCCCTAAATAGAATGGTTGTTATCACATGGGAAACTGAGAGAATTGAAAAATGAGAGAGGAAGTAGGCTGATCGGGAACAGGGTAGTTTTTCATAGAGGTTTTTTCAAGTAGCATATAGGGGTAGGTAACATATTTCCAAACCAGTAAAGTAGCTTATAACGCCACCTATTTAAAGGAACACTAGCGTTAGGCATACAAACATGTATTCCTTACACTGTCGTATTAGCCAACCTAATATTGGTGTCTGTCCGCTGTAAGGATTTAAAAGGTAAATTAAACGTATTCTTATTCCCGTGCTGCAGTCTCTCTGCCTCCATAACCTAGATCAGGGGTGCCCAAAAGGTTGATCCCCAGATGATGTAGAATTACAACCTCCATGATGCTTTGCATGCCTTAGATTGACAAAGCATCATGGAAGTTGTAGTTTTAAAACATCTGGGTATCTACATTTTTGGCACCCCTGGCCTAGATCATCAAGATTGTTGATCTGTGCCCTTCCAATGCTTCCTCATAAGGAGTCTGACTCAGTTCTCACAGGGGATGTGCATCTAGTAGGAAGACAGCCACAAGAGGTGGATTTGACCCTGCAATGGAAAAACATTTTAGGTTGTACAAAACTACAATGTTTTACATTGCAGAGTTACAACTAAATGGGCCACTGCACCAGGCCACTTTAGTGAGACAATGTGGTGTGGATGTCTTTAGTGGTCCTTTAATTCCTATCTTTCTGGAACACCCCACTGTTTCCCACCCATGCTCAAACTTTATCTCATTGATGCCTAATAACATAATAATAACAAACTGGTTCACCAGAAAAGGTACATTCAGAAATTCTCTGGTTTCCAAGTATGTCCTAGGGATGTTACATGATTTAATTACTAGAATATTAAGACATCGTGTGACATGTTTTATTTTTGCATTTTCCAAGAAACTGATGTAGAGATTGGAGTAAATAAAATGCAGAAAGAAAGTATAACAGTCAAAAAACTGAACAATGACAAAGGAAAATATCATTAAAAGAATAATATTAAGAAATAAAGAATGGAAAGAAGAGCAAACTGATGGGTGGACAGAATTTGATCTAGAAAGGAAGATACAGCCACCCAGAAGAAGTATTTCAAAAGGTGTGAATTAACTCAAAGTGAAGAAATAGTCAGACTTGGAGAATCAGTCAGTGGGATGGACGAAGAAGAGGGGTTAGTAATTAAGGTACAGAAAAGCTGTGAGACAGGAAATGTATCCCATGGCTACAAGAATGATGGCCTTCTACCTTCTTCTCAGACGATGTGCCTTGGCATAGACCAAGCTGTCCATATATATACCGCCCCTGACCCTGACTATCCACATTGATATAGTATGGCTGGGCTATTAATGGGAGGTCCAATTCTTTTACCGGCCTGGCTGTCAGTAAATTCCAGCTAGAGGTGTGGTTGAATCTCTTTACCGGTAAATATGCTAATATTTCACAACCATGAAATTAATCTACTGTGCACTGCTTTGTAACTCTTTAGATCCATGTCTCATTCTATTTGTCATGGTCATATCAGCCGTTGTCTATCGTAGTTCTTTATAGGTTTGAAATGAGCTAATTTAATGCAGGGAGATCTCTATTGTAAAGTAAGCATGCAACGATTTATCTCTTGCAGAGAACACAATAGGTGCGGATTAATCAAATTAGTCATAGTCATACGTTTTTTCCTTCCTTTCTTCCAAACTTTGCATTAAAAGTTTTATTGGATTTTTTAAAGCAAATAAAAAGAAATTGATAAAATAAAAAATAATATTTCTCAAGCCAGAGTTTTTATTATATATGTGATAAGAGATGAAGTATGTTTGTGTGGGCGTGATGGGTAAATGGGACGTGTGTGTGTATGTATGTATGTGTGTGTGTATGTATATATAATACACACACACATACACACATACATATATATATACAAACACACACAGTATATATAATATATATACACAGACTGCAGGTATGTGTGATACACCTGTGTGTGTGAGAGCCCTCCCTACTTTAATTTCTTCACTTTATTTAACCTCCCTGGCAGTCTGATTATGTCAGTATTTTTTACTGTTAAAGCGGTACATTGTTTTTACAATGTATTCTGTGTATTTATTTTTACACCAGGGGCTCGTAGCGACAAGGTAAGTGATACTAAGGTGTAATCCAGAGCGTGGCTCGGGGTTACCACTTTTGGTACTGAAAATTAACCCTGAGCCACGCTCTGGATTACCACCAGGGCGGTTAATTATCTTCTGACTATTTCTTACCTTTTGGACAATTAGATATTAAATATGAGGTATAACGCTTGTAAGATTTTTACAGGTTGGAGGAGGAAGCCTAGAGTGAGTAGGTTGACAGACGGTACATACGAGTAGAATGTAAGAATGTATCCAGAACACCAGCTGTGTGCAGGCATAGCTCAAAACCATTTAGGGGGCTATTTACTAAAATGAGAATTGTTGGGAATTCAAAGTGAATTTTTAATTTAAGGTCAAAGGAACCAAAGTAGAAGAATAACTGTTTTGGAGAATTTTTCCAAATCCACTATTTTGACCACTGATTTGAAGTTCACTTGAATTCCTCACAATTCTTCCTTTAGTAAATAGCCCTGATTGTTTTTGATCACTAGGCATTATGAATGAAACAGTCAGGGTTATTCTCTAATGTGAGAATTTTAAAGTGAATTTCAAATTTAAAGGAAAGCTATAGGGTCAGGAACACAAACATTTATTCCTGACTCTTCAGTGCAAAACCCACCAAGCCTACTTAAAAACATGAAAAACTTACCTCTCGCACTGGCCCCGCCCCCTTTGTGACATCATCATAATTGCAGATTTTTAGCCAATCTAATGCCTTCACATGGGAAAAGCATTGGATTGGCTGAAATCGACAAGGGGGCAGGCCAAACACTGTTTTGGCCAATCAGCACCTCCTCATAGAGATGCATCGAATCAATGCATCTCTATGAGGAAAATTCAACGCTGAATGGCAGAGCTGCCTACTGTGCAGCACTGCCACAGGAAGCACCTCCAGTGGCTATCTGAAGAGTGGCCACTTGGAGATGTCCCTAGGGGCAATGTAAACACTGCCTTTTCTCTGAAAAGACATTGTTTGTATTTAAAATGCCTGAAGGCAATCCGTATACTCACCAGAACAACTCCATTAAGCGGTAGTTGTTCTGGTGACTATAGTGTCCCTTTAAGGACAAAACAGCCAAACTAAAAAAAATCAACAAGTTAGCTATGCTTTCAGTTTGGCTACTCTGAGAATGTGAAATTCACTTTGAATTCTCACTTTAGTAAATAACCTTGAAACATTTCACTTGAGTGGCCTGTTGTGTTAATGCTCAAAAAGAACAATAGGTGCCTACGACCGCCATGCAGAAGACTATAGGACTTACAATAGCAGTGGAAAAAAGTGTGAATCTAAAAGGGTTATTCACTAAAGAAATCTTCCAGTAATTCAAAGTGAATTGGATGCAAATTTAACAATTTAGGTCAAAATAGCAAGTTTGGGGAAAAATTTGGTGAATTCTGTGTTCAGTTTGGTTATTTAGGCTTTTTGAAATTCAATTTGAATTCACTTTGAATTCCTAGCTATTCTCAATGTAGTGCCCTGTGTATGTTACTATGTTTAACGTTAGATCAGAGTTGCATAGCATGTTCATTAGGTTGAAAGGCAGAATGCTATAGTGGAAGGCATATCCGGGAGATAAATTTATTGTAAGTAAACCAAGAGCAATTGTGGGTAAGATAACAATTTAGTGTTTTAGATAAATCTACCTTGTAAACTGCATACAGTGTACATAGATAGGTGCTAATACTTATCTATTCTTACTTAAATCTTTGTTTTTATTCACTGATACCTTTAAAAACATGTCCTCATCTATCACAATAGTAAAATTGCTATATGACATTTTTTCTGCATAATATTTACTAAAGCAGTAACTGTTTTGACCCATATAAACATGTAATCAGTCAATCAGTGTTTGCACAAGGTTATGCACACAAGTGACGAATGTCATACAAAACAATACATCCCATCCGCCCAGTTTCGAACCCTGCCTGCGAAAACCAAATCTGTAAAATTGTGCTCAAGATGTAAAAAGGTGACCGCTGTAAACAAAACGCCTACTGCATTTCACAAATATGATCTCAATGAATGAGCCAGAATAGAAATTTGGGAGCTGGACCCTGGCATGCGAAATGTTCCTCAAGCTTTGTATTGCATCTTTTGGCATTCATAGATCACCAAAACTATGCACACCACCTACCGGGTAAGTTTAGTAACTGGAGTTCCAAGAATAAAGTAATTACTTTAATCTACAATATATTTCAACTCCCAGCATATTCCTCTAGTTCCGTGGCACTTAAACAGAAGCTTACAATTTATTTTTACTTAACAGCTCCATTTTTTTTAAACATTTGGTTCTGCAATGGCATAACAATACAACATTGGGCACAATATTATGGTATAACAAAGAAATGACAAGTAATGCATTAATCGCAGAGCTATGTATCTGCACACATTCTAAGTAATAAAGGAAGTCATGTAGACTGTCAGACAGAATAATAAACCCAAGAGGCTCCTATGCATATCTTAGGTAAACGTCTAAAACAATTAAGGACTAAGAAATACTAAGATACTGATGGAAAATTCAGGATATAAGGCATAGGACAGACAAATACTAAAAACAAATAAACTGTTGCTCGATATTGACTCATTGAATCACTATGAAGTAGTGATGTGAGGTGAGATACCCAGAACCCAGATCAGTCTATGCCCAAGGGCAGAACACAGCCGCACTGTAGGAAGAAGCTCTTCAGGCCTTGTTGCCCTAGTGTAGGTAAATGCTTTATCCAAGTGTGGTAATAAATGCCTTATCCAAGTGCAGAAGTGAAGGTGGCCCATAGTTGTCATCAGGTTTCCTCTCGACACTCCAGCTCTTTAAGGAATCCCAAGGCTTGCCCTGTGTAGACCAAGCCCTGATACAGGCCCGGACGCAGCCATGTCACAGGCTTGTTGTTGTGGCCTTTGCCACCATAATCGTGCCCTCTCTGTGGTTGAAGCCGCTGAAACAGCTTTATTTTAAAAAGGGTTTTTATTGCTAAATACATTAAAGATACAATGCCAGCAAACATCATAGGCCACTAGATTACCAATGTGAAATATAAGAAAAATGTTAATATCAAATGCAATTAATAGAATAAGGAAATGCAAATAAAAAGAATAAAAACACTCACACAAAATGTAGTACCTGTATAAAAATTAACCCGGTTCACAGTTAGGTGAACCATGCTGTGTGCAGGAATCTCCTTATTGTTGATTGTGTATGCATGTGACCACAGATTTGGCTATTCAGACCTAGGAGGAAGACTGAACAACTTGAAAAAGTTAGAGAGAAAGTAAATGTCCTCCTTTTAATGTCACTCATCCAGAGAGGCTTTCTAGTAGATGCAGTCATTCCTGGGCAGGATACATGCACCACACATTTTGGTTCTTAGAGTGACCCTTTAATCCAATCTTGGGGTGTTTAAAAAAAAAAAAAAAAAAAATAGAAAATGTGTTTTGTTTTATAATGCATTTATAATGGATTAACTAAATGGGTGGTAGATGTACTCTGGAATGTTTTTTGTTTTTTTCAATATATAAAATGGATTGTTCCTTATTTAAGGGCAACTTGCAGACATTTAATACTGACTTTCATCCATTCTCTTCGATTATCTGCCGTATAATTTAATGTTACCTTTATTTAGCCTGCAGGACATGGTAATAGCAGAATTTAAAATACTCTGGAATGTCACAGCCTAGAGAAAATAACTAGTTCATTCTCCCAGCATATTATTGACTGACATTATTGCACACCTGTATATCAAGCTTGGGATCCATCTTACATATCTTTTATTTTCTTATAAAATAAATGTTAAATGATGATCCAAGGTAAATGTGGGCAGGAGTGGCTACCACATGGTTCACTTAATTGCACTTGCCTTAAAGCCAAGTATAGCTGGTTTGACTTAATCTATACAACACAGGCATACATGCTTCTTTACTACAGCCTGATGCTGTTAACGTTGGAATTGTGGCAAACATGTAAAAATGTCAGTTACTAGCTGGCTTAACTTTGCTGATAGTTGTAATAATAATTTGAAATAATTTTTTTTATAGCACTTTTCTCCCTGTGATACTCAAATCATTTTAAAAATATAGAAAACAGACATAAAAGTTACAAGTTTTTGATATTCAGATGAGCTGACTAAATGCCTGATTAAAGGACCACTATAGTGCCAGGAAAACATTCTCGTTTTCCTGGCACTATAGTGCCCTGAGGGTGCCCCCACCCTCAGGGACCCCCTCCCGCCCGGCTCTGGAAGGGGGAAAGGGGTAAAAACTTACCTTTTTCCAGCTCGGGGCTGGCTCCCTCCTCCTCCCTCGCCTTCGCCGCTGAATGCTGACTACGCAAGAGCTGCCTACATTCAATAAGTTCCCCATAGAAAGCATTTACAATGCTTTCCTATGATGAGCATGCGCTCTCACTGTGAAAATCACAGTGAGAAGCACGCAAGGTCTAGTGGCTGTCAATGAGACAGCCACTAGAGGATTAGGGGGAAGGCTTAACCCATTCATAATTATAGCAGTTTCTCTGAAACTGCTATAATTATGAAAAAATGGGTTAACCCTAGAAGGACCTGGCACCCAGACCACTTCATTAAGCTGAAGTGGTCTGGGTGCCTAGAGTGGTCCTTTAAAGAGGTGTGTGTTTAGCTTAAAAAAAAAAAAAGTATGTAAGAATGGTTCCTCTCTGATTGAGCAAGGTATATGGGGGCAGCTTGATTGAGTTTGTCTTTAATTTTGGTTACCGACAGGAGTGTTTACCGAAGTAAGCGAGATGGAAAGTACGGTGTCAGAAGTTCTTTCAGGTATTGTTGGCTTT